ATGATTTTAAATTTATTAATAGTTTTTTATTTTTAGTAAACAGGCAGGTTTTATTTAAATAAACTAACTATATACATTGTGTTTTGGTAATTTGGTATATTTTTATGACGAAAATATTAATTAATTTCTTCGCGAGTAAATCAAATAGAAAAAAAGTTGATGAATGTTTAGAAAGCATTAAATGTCTTTAATATGTATAGGTATCTAAATAATGCTAAAATTCAAAACCTATGCTTTCAACGTACTAGTGCAGGTCTTTAATATTATTATCAACTTAACTCGTGAATAATACAACGAACTGCTATTTATAAAAGGTCACAACAAACTAATATTAAGATAGTCCTTCATGTATCATTGCAAAAGATGAAATATACAAATAGAAATTAAAAAAAATATAAATCTTGTGGACGAGAAAAATAAAGATTAAAAGTAATTAATTCACAATTGGAAGCGTACCTTATCATATTTAGTTTTTTGCCCAGTCCACAACATAATAAATTTTTTATCTTTATTATTGACAAAATTTGATATTTACCTTTTGATTGTAATTTTTTGTCAACAAAAATGGAAATGCCATTATAATCGTTTTGATTGTTTAACCCAAAATACTCTTTTTATTTTTAGAAAAAAAATTTTTTTTTCCTATATAAGCTATACAAATGACATTTTTTAAACTTTTTAATTCCTTTTTTTTTTTTAAGAAATGAAACTTTTTAAATCTGTAAATATTAATTTGTTATTAATACCACTATTATTATTAATACTACCATTGATACGATTGAACACGACAAATGCCACATATACAACAATAACGTATCAAGAAACAGAGACAACATATCTGAAAGGTTGGGCTAAGCAATCCTATAGCAAGGAGGATGGTAGTGCCATATTACAATTTGTAAAATTGATAAATCTAAATTGTAGTCAACCACAACTTTATTTGAGAATATTGCATCCAAACGGTACAATAACGCCGCTGAATTTTGATTTTTCATTATTCTCATCACAATCAACACCAAATATTCAAGATTTTAATTTTTGCCTTACACCCTATGGTGGAACATTTGTTGATGTA